CAGGACCTTCTTGCTGTGCAGCAACAGTGCTAACCACCGTGCCACCGTGCTGCCTGCGTGTTGAAACATATCTCACCTAAATTTAAGATAGGATTCTCATCTTCTCCATTCCATACACCTCTGTAACGCAAACAGACTTGACTCAAAGTCTTTCGACATCTCTAAAAATTAAGAGCCTTTCAAGTATCATCTTTGCACATACCGTGTACTTCAGGGGAAACTGGTATCTGCAAAACACACACACACACCAAGACGTGCGGGTAAACATTCAGTCTCTTCTTTTAAGTCTCCCTAGAAATACTGAATGGATACTTACAGTGTATGAAGTGTGAAGAACCACTAATCCCAACAATACCAGCACTCTCTCCATCATGATGCAGCGTGTCTCCAAGTAAATGCTGCTTCTTTAGTTTACATATAATACGACCTTTGGAAGTGGAGTAGTTTTATGCCAGCTGTAAACAGTAACTGAGGGACTTTGACTCAAATTGTTACTGATTTGTGAGTGTTTTCACATGTGCATCAGCCTGAGGTGGCGTGAATATCTCCACACTTCCTGTCTTAGGCTATTGCCTGGGTATTATTAGATTCTCTGATGGCAACCCAGAATTCAGCACAGCAATCGTTCAGGAGCACAAATGCTGATTTTTTATGTGATATATTCAAAGCATAAGACCCACTCTCCCTAGCTCTACCTATGCTCGCTCTTTTTTCTCCAGGTGTTTTCAAACGTGTAGGCAATTTGATAAAGTTGTGGGTTTTAAGTTAAAGTCTCGATTGTCTATATTTTCCTGTGGGTATTTAAAGTCAGACGTTTATTTTTTATGACCAAATCTAATCGCTAGATGGGGACAAATACCCAGGTTTTTACCAGTACGGCACTCGACACTACAGCACATGCACATGCTACGTAATGCTATACGTAACCGCGGTGGTAGAGTGGACACTTTTTACGCTAAATCCACACAGAGAGGTGAAGGAGCTAGTTAAAACCTTCAATTCAATCCAACCCTGAAAACACTCACGCTCTTATCTTTGCTGTTGGCGATATTACGCAGAATTTTCCATTGATCATGGTCCTCATTTCCCTACGTTTGCACAGATGGACAGATAAAAGCAGCAGTGCTGCAACTTTTACGATGTTATCTGTGTCGTATGACAGAAACGCCCCCAAACGCAGCACACACAACGGCATGTATCAACACTCGGTACGTCACTGACTTAAACGCAGCTTTTAAAAAAGTGGAATATATCAAGGTTTATTATGTCGATACCGACATGTGTCCACACTACGCATTTTCCGGGTTTAGGTAGTTGTAGCCACTGTCTTTTGTGTTGTCATATTGCTAACGTCAGCAAGGTGGCTAACGGCAGTGCCACATTTAGCCTAACATGCTAAAACACGATGGTGTGAAACCTTAGAAAAATAGTCTTGCTCACTGTCGGGATTTTAACTGACAGCCGTTGAATATTGATATTACTATGGGCATGTCCCAATGGTGTATCGAGACGAGGTGGCCGAGTGGTTAAGGCGATGGACTGCTAATCCATTGTGCTCTGCACGCGTGGGTTCGAATCCCATCCTCGTCGGAA